CGTACAGCCGAAATCTGGAAAAAAGAATGTTTTTAAATTTCCTGAAAGCATTTTTATTATTTAATCGCATGACTTATTTACTTTTTCGTATTAATGGGTGTCTTTGTTTGAATATTTCCTTTATCCTTTTCTTATTCCGTAAACGAATGGCAAGAAGCGTTTTAGTGGGATGAAAAACGAAAAAAATGTACCCTTCCCTGCCCCCTACTGCACTGTTCTTCGTACCTATTTACTAAAAATGTTATGCGGGAAACGCAAGAAATGGCATTTCTGAGACTTTCAATTAAAAACATTCTGGGAAACATTCGCCCAGACTCCCTATTTTGGAGTGCGTTCCGCGCTCTAGCTTTTCTCCCTGCGCGTACAACTTCAAAATCTCTCGCTATGGCCCTTCATGCCCCGAAACGATTTTCTGAAGATGATCCAAAGGTCCCAAAGATAGTGTACAGTTCGTTGGTGATTCAACATTTCAAAGTCACTGATAGTGGCCCTGACAAAAAGGGTTAAAATTGAGCATTTGGGCTATTTTGTCTAAAACATTGAACCACAGGTCTCAAGACTTAAAACTCGTTTTATTCAACTACCTGTTGATACAGGGGCACCCAACGACTGTTTTTGTAAACTATGTGTTTGGAGAAGCAAATATTGCGTAGAATTTTCTTTTGCTTGAGGACGGCTAAAAATTTCTAAATGAACGTTCCATTTATGTTCAATTTTCGAAGCTTATCTAACAAATTCCATAAGATTTTCTGAAGTTTAATTTTTCATATTTTACTACCCAGGTTACACTATTTTTCTTAGAAAAAGGAAACGTAAAATTTTCGGATTCTAAAATGTGATGGAGAGAAGAATAAGAAAAATTCTCCCTTTCGTTAAACGTTAAATTGCACCTAAAATTTTCGGGAAAATAATACTGAAGTCCTCGTAATTTCGAAAAGACTTAAGTTCCCCTAGGATGACCAAACAGATTAAAATTTTGTAGCGCCGCTTAGAATGTATTTCTAGACATCTAAAAGTACTCTGAATAGCCTAAAAAGGGTTTTCAATAAAGTTTTTTGGAGGAAACCGTCGTTGAGTGCCGCTGTTGATAGACGGCAGTACGGTACTTGGGACTTGTACGTAGTGATGTTATCCTGGTAACTTCAAGATCTTTGCTGTTTAAAGAAAACAATGTAGCGTGTTATATACAGGGGAAGTGGAGGAGGGGGGAAGAGCTACTCACTGTACATTCTCTTAAGGTGGCTCGATGGGGTTTTTCAGGGTTAATACCTCCCATGTTTGAGCATTAACTACGTCACAACTGACGAAAACTGTATCAGATAAAGATGAAAATCTTGTCATGATCAGCCGGGTTACATTGACATAACTACAGGAACTACAAAGACTACAGGCAGCACAGCAACTGTACTAGAATAACTACACAACTGCTATCGTACCTGTGACGTCATCGACATGTAAGGCCAAGTACGTCTCAGGACATTAAACGTAAGGCTTACATGAAGTTCCTACCAACTTTTCGACCAAAATAGTTCAAATCAGGACCTTTGCAATCTATGAGAGCGTTTTGAAGATATTTTGGGATGAAGTATTTGTGGCTAGAAATTCAGTATTCAGTATTCGGCCGTTATCTTTAGAAAACGAAGCGATTTTGAAATGCAGTTCTGGCTCATAGTACTTTCATTCACTTTTAGACGTGTTTCTAAGTAGCATGGGAACGTCTTAAGCCTTTCGTAAGAAAGAGGGATTTGATAATACATTGAGGTGCTCTTATTGGCGTTTTCTAAATATTTTGGTCTACTTTAACAAATGAGCAAATAAATTTGAAACCGCTCGATAAATATTTTTAAAAATTTGAGATTATCGAGATTAACCATCATTTTATATGACCCTTCAGCTTCAATGTTATTGATAACTTGTAAGGTAATAAAATAAGGACTTCAATTCGCTATTTTACTTTGTCGAAAATTTCGTGTTTACAAGTGAAAGTTTCTCATTGTTTAGGGGTACTGTCTCCAAGTTTCATATTTTAAAGCAAAGCAATAACTAAGATTTCTGCATATTTCAAATGCATTGTTAGTTAGTGCCGTTAATGTAAACATAAAACTTGGAGACAATACCCGGAATAGTTAGATGCAAACTGTACCCTCACGGCGATGACAATTATTACGGAAAAGCAAAAAGGATCCAGTATGAAGCCATTTTGTGATCTGCATCAACAACAAAACGCCAGTTTAGGTCCCGTCCACACGAATCTTGCTATTTTTGAAACCCCATTTTTTTTTTACACAAATCGGCCATTCGTTCACAAGAAACCAGTAGATCCACTATCCAAGAAGGCATCTTGTTGAAACCCCGCTCCAGAGACAGGTTTGAGACCCCCTCCACACGAATCAGGGTAAAAAATACATATAATTATGCAGTTACAAAAATAACCCGATTGGTGTAGACGGGACTTTAATTTAAGCCGTTAAAAAGCGTATTGTAAGAGAGAAAACAATAGATCGTTTACTCACGTACCAAGTGGTTATGAAAATTTCTTGGATAAACAGAAACTTTCACGTAAGAAAATAGTTCAATCCTCACGTGACTGTTTCGGTACCACTGACATTGCTCCCGTTTCTCACCTTTGGTTGGCCATTGTTTTAATTAAAAAAAGATGTTCGCAAGGGCATCAGTAAGATTAAAATATGTGGGTTAGAGTGCAGAAGGTTTTAAATTTTTGTCTGTCCGATCCAGAAAACTAATTTCCGTTGAACATGTGTTAGAAAGCACTTTTCTGCATTTTCTTCACATTAACGCGCGCAACTCTAAAGAAAACAGAAAACTGGCAGACAGGAAATAATGATAACTTTACATTTTCCTTTTCTAGGTATATTAACATCAAGGAACAGCCACACTTTTCATACAGGAACTGCTAAATGACTGAAAGGAATAGAATAGAGTACCACAAGCAACAACTAAACTTTGCTAAAAAAGTCGGCGACAGGGCCGGACAAGGACGTGCCTATTGCAATCTCGGCAATGCTTATCAATCCCTTGGCCAATTCCAACAAGCAATAGAGTACCACAAGCAACACCTGAGCATTGCAATAGAAGTCGGCAACAGGGCCGGACAAGGAGGTGCCTATGGCAATCTCGGCAATGCTTATAAATCCCTTGGCCAATTCCAACAAGCAATAGAGTACCACAAGCAACGCCTGAGCATTGCAATAGAAATCGGCGACAGGGCCGGACAAGGAGGTGCCTATTGCAATCTCGGCAATGCTTATCGATCCCTTGGCCAATTCCAACAAGCAATAGAGTACCACAAGCAACACCTGAGCATTGCAATAGAAATCGGCGACAGGGCCGGACAAGGAGGTGCCTATTGCAATCTCGGCAATGCTTATCGATCCCTTGGCCAATTCCAACAAGCAATAGAGTACCACAAGCAACACCTGAGCATTGCAATAGAAATCGGCGACAGGGCCGGACAAGGAGGTGCCCATGGCAATCTCGGCAATGCTTATGACAGCCTTGGCCAATTCCAACAAGCAATAGAGTACCACAAGCAACACCTGAGCATTGCAATAGAAGTCGGCGACAGGGCCGGACAAGGACGTGCCTATGGCAATCTCGGCAATGCTTATGCCTGCCTTGGCCAATTCCAACAAGCAATAGAGTACCACAAGCAACACCTGAGCATTGCAATAGAAGTCGGCGACAGGGCCGGACAAGGAGTTGCCTATGGCAATCTCGGCAATGCTTATTTATCCTTCGAGGACTTCAAACAATCAAGGGAACACCACAAGAAAAGCCTTAGCATTGCAATAGAAGTCGGCGACAGGAATGAAGAAGGAAGGGCCTATGGCGCTCTCGGCTTAGTTTGTGAATCCCTCGGCGACTTCCAAGGAGCAATAGAGCATTATATGCAAAGCCTAAGCATTGCTAAGGAAGTGGGCAACAGGTCTGGGGAGGGATATACCTATGCCAATCTCGGCAGTGCTTATTTATCCCTTGAACAATTCCAACAAGCAATCGAGTACCACAAGCAACAGCTCAAAATTGCTAAGGAAGTGGCTGACATGTTCCTAGAAGGATGTGCCTATCAGTACTTGGGTATGGCTCATATGTTGTCAGGTTCTCTGGATAAGGCTGTAGTTAATTTCAAATTCAGCGTAAAAACGTTTGATACTATTAGGGGTAGTTTCATTTCGGAAGATGCATGGAAAATAAGTTTTCATGAGCGTTACGTATCTAGCTATCGTTATTTACGTCGAGTTCTTATAGCGCTTCAAAAGACGGATGAGGCTTTGTACGCAGCCGAACGGGGACGAGCAGCGGCTTTGCTAGATGCCTTGAAAATAAAGTATGGCTTTACATCCCTTTCGCCCATTTCAAATGAAACTGAGGAAGATTTCGCATGCATTTCAAGGAACATATCTGTTTTGACAACGTTTATTGCATTGGACAATGGAACAATAAGCTTGTGGGTACTGGGAAAGAAAACCAACGCTATTTTTAGGGAAAGAGTACTAAAAAGTGGAAGGGCACACGAAGATCCCTTTGATGCACTTTTGAAAGCTTCTTTGAAACAAATTGGGGCTGGCAGAGATGTTAGATGCGAGAATCGGTCACTTGATGTTTTAAGAGATAAGTCAACTTTGAGTACTCAGGAAGATGATGAAATAACGATTCCATCGCACGAGAATATCGACTGGTTACAGCCATTGCGTGATATAGTTTTTGGTCCCATTGAAGACTTACTTGATGGCGATGAACTGGTTGTAGTCCCTGATGGTGCTTTGTGTTTAGCTCCTTGGACAGCCCTAAGTGAAACTTTAAGGATCCGTATTATTCCCTCACTGACAAGTTTGAAAGTAATAAGAGATTCTTCAAGTGAATACCACAGTAAAACTGGCGCCCTGCTTGTTGGAGACCCATGTTTGAGGAAAGTTACAAATAAAAGGGATAAACCCATTTATGATCAGCTGGAGTTCGCAAAAAAGAAGTGGAGATGATTGGAAAACTTCTTAACAGCCAACCACTCACAGGAGAAGCTGCAACCAAAGAAGAGGTGCTTCGGAGAATAGATTCAGTCGCTTTGATTCACATTGCAGCACACGGAGGAAAGGAAGCTGGTGAAATTGCTTTGGCTCCCAACCCCGGGTGGCAATCCAAGACTCGTATCCCTACGGAAGAGGACTACATGTTGAAAATGTCTGATTTACAGGCCATTAAGCTGAGAGCGAGGCTAGTTGTGCTTAGTTGCTGCCATAGTGGTCAAGGAGAGGTCTCGTCTGAGGGTGTGGTCGGTATGGCAAGGGCTTTCTTGTTTGCTGGTGCTCGTTCTGTGCTGGCGTCACTCTGGGCAATTGATGATGAAGCCACAATGGTGTTTATGGAATGTTTCTACCAACACCTGAGAGTTGGACAAAGTGCTAGTACTGCTCTGCAGAAGGCCATGAAATGCCTTCGAGATTCGGACGACTTTTCCGCCCCAAAGTACTGGACTCCATTTGTACTGATTGGCGATGACGTCACGATTGAATTTGACGTAAACCGTTGAGAAAGCTGTAAGTACAGATTCTTTTGTTTTAGATTACTTAGGGTCCTAATATATTAAATAAGGTTTAAGGTTTTATTGTCTTCAAATTAAAATGTAGAGGAATTGACAAAATTAAATAGAAATAAGCAGTAAAAGCAAGACTTAGTCTGAATAATATTGACAAAAAAAAAAAATATGGATGGTTCGTTCTGGATTTACGTAATGAGATTTCATTTCTGTAATACACAATTGTTTAAAAACGTTTGTTGAACACTATAGAAACCTTTCAATAATCATATAATTAAGTGCAAAATCAGCATTCACTGTAAATGGTTGTTGCCGTGACATACTGGCTCTGGATTATGCGTTAAGAATTCTTAGTTTTTGCCTCAACATTTTAGTTTGAACTACCATTAAGTCATCATTTTACCCGATTCAAAAGAGAAATGTCATATTTGTCAAAAAGAGTTAAAACCTTTATTTTATGGTTTGTTATAAGCAGAAAAGCAGGTTAAATAGGCAGAAAATAGACCAAAAACTTTTTCTAAAAACCCATTTTCGTGTATACACCATATAGCTAGATAGTAAAAGTATCTCTAACATACTCTCTTGTTGTAAAGTAATGAAAGGTTTTCAGCTCCTGCCCAACTTTGATTTTACATTCGTCTCATCCTTGCTATCCTGTAATCTAAGGCTTTTTATGTTTTAAAAACCTCTGTAGATCGAGTAGTATTGAGGCCGTGATTTCGTTTCGTTGTTCAAGCGTATTAATTAATCAAATGTTACTTTATTTACAGGGGCTGCGCTGATTGCAGTGAGATATCAAGGAAAGAGTACTGCTGAATCAAAGGAACATTATAATATCAAAGTCTATTTTACCTGAGGAAGAAAGGTTTCGTGTAACCGTAGAAAATGAATTTTATACTTTTTTACTCCCTAAAACTATTGCAGCAAAGCAGCATTAGCTGATAGAGAAATTTTGCTTCCTTCGATGATGTTGAAATACGTTTCTCAAATAACATTTTCACTTACGCACGTGTTCCTTCGGTTAATCATTGCGTTAGAACAAGTCTATAGAGCATAAAATATCTACAATTTTGGACCGTTGATTTTGCTATATATTCTTATACTTTACATATTGTTAAAAATATTTTGCGCAAAATTTAGTTTTTTCAGCGTTAACTATTGGGAGTTTACCCTGAAAGTGTTGAAATCAGTTTCCTGAATGATTTTCTATACCTTGCCTTGTTATGCTTGGTGTAACATTTTGTCTGCGTGACAACTAACTAAGGAAATGGGCAAATTGACGGAAACTTTACTTCGTCCAGACAGATGAATATGCGTTTTTGTCAAAGGATAATACATTCACGAACTTTGGCCTAGTGGATGACGTTGGATGGAAGGCCAGAACGCGTTATCAACGGAAGCGTTTCCAAACTAAAGCCCATCGCAACAGATTAGTCAGGGGCACCCAACGACCGTTTTCTAGCAAATGTCTGCTCGAAGCTCTCTAGTATGCCTAAAATTTTTATAGCGACGAGAATTATTCATTTATATTGCTTTTAAAACACCCCAGGAAGCCTATAGAGAGGCATTTCAGAGCTGATTTTCTTGATAAAGCTGTCGTTGGGTGCGCCTGATTAGTAAGTTAGTAAATACCATTTTAGTTAAAACTGTAACTTACTATTGCTTGAGTAACATAACAGTTATAAGAGGGTCCAGAAGGGGTAAAACAGGAACTGGGATTTCACTTTTTTTGGAGTGGGAAGATGGGATTTACTGCACTGGGAGAGCCATGAGCAGTTTTGAAAATGGCATTGTGGTTTCTCTTCTTTAGAGGACTTGGACTCAATTACTTGACACAATTTTGCACAAATAAGCCTACTTTTGGAAATGGAGAAATCTAATCATGCATCAGTAAACCAAAGTATAGCAATGCATAAATGAAGTTCTGTCAGCTTCCCTGTTCAGTGGGTTGTTGTCGCTCATGAGATGACATACCCATTTTAGAAAGATCAAACTGGCGTCTGATTTAAAAAATGTTTCCCGCACTTTGCACAATTATGGTCATCGAAATGTTTGAGTTCAGCAAACAATGCGGTAATCTGCACAGAAAATTGCAAATTATAATCTTTAACTGATTTCGACTGAACTGTGACAACCACTGCTCACGCGGCGAAGTAAAGATAGTGCGTGAGTCGGATGAAAATGTTGAAAGTGAGATTGAGAGAAGTATTTTTAATATGGTTATGCCAACAAGAGTTGGAAGAGAAAGATTGTTCACTTGTCCAGTAGAATGAGAGATTTTTTCTTTCCAGATGACCTGATGTACCTGTAACCAGACGGTGTCAATCAGTGCAGCTTTTCATTTATCATGTGCATGCCATCACTTTCCGGTTGGGAACTGGGATTTGGTATACCCCCCTTCAGGACCGTCTTATAATATTGTTGTTATCTTATATAAGTACCCGGACTGTGGCTCAGATAGTTCAATTGTTTAGTAACAGTGATACGCTTTTTTAATTTTTTATTGACTGGAGAACTTACTTTTTTGTAAAAGTAAGGTTGTACATTGATCAAACAGATCAGTTCCAGAGCGCTTGTTCAGCATCGTTTTGTGGTTAGGCGCTAAGAAGTTATATGTACCTCAATCTTTTAAGCTAAGATTACCTTAGCGGGAATTTAACGAATTTTTAGCTACCTGAAGGTGGAGTGTTTTCCAGGCAAATGACGTATAGCACGGCCATGGTTATTCATTAGTGAATTTACGTCGTTAGAGAGATTAAGATTCACGTTTACGGCATACGGCAAACGGCAAACGTCAGTTGAGAATTTATCAAAATAGAAAATAAGCAGATAAAAACAGCCCAGAACGATTCCTTTGGATAAAACTAGCATAAAACTACTTATTTTTGCGTAGAAGCAATAAAAAGTAAAGGAAAAATAAGGGGAAAACTTGGTCACGTGGTACAAATTCACTTTTGCCGTTTGGCGTAAACATGAATCTTAATCTTTCTATTGTGTCGACTTGATTACATCAACTGCTTGTAGCTAACCTGCGTGGTACAGTGTTCGGTTTCTGATGTAACTTTCAGCCTTGTTATGTTGTATTAAATATAAAGAAAAGGAGACTGAAGTTTTACTGTGATTGTTGATGTCCACGACGTGAAAAACTCTCTGAAAAAACTCTTCCCCTTGAACAAGGACCTCCGAGGTCAATGTTTGATTAGGAAACCACAAGCCACTTCTTCCTGTCCCTTCGCTGAGGCTTTTTAAATCATTTCCGATGCTGCAAGTTTTCATTTTTAATTGGTCATCACCCCCCTCCCCCCATCCGCCATCCTCGACCTAGGTTACAACTGTTTTTCATCTGATTGGGTAAATAACAAAATGCTTGAATCTGATTAATCTTTATCAGCCTTTTTTTTTGCTTATAAAGCACCAAGACTGTATGATTTGACCTTTCCGATTACAGACATAAGATGTTTTGGTTCCAAGAGGCAGAGTAACCCCCGGCTCTCTTTTTCGTTAATTAGATGAGCGCAGTGACTTTCAGCTTCAAAAAGGTACTATTGGGCCATTTCGTGGCCCAAGGGTGTGTGACTGTGTTTTAGTGTTGGATGTTTCATCAGTTGACTGACTGATACACACAGCATATATCTAGTACTCCCATACTAGGCCTTTGTTACGGCGTTTTTACGGACCAGTTTATTTTTAGACACATTTATGGCACTTTTTCCCGCGAAAAGAGAATCTCTACCATGACTATGTGCGCATTCGAAGTATAAGATATCAAAAAGAAAAACTAAACGTCATTAAAAGGCAAAAAATATCATTTTTAGGTCTGTAGGTTTTGTTGACTGGTTTGTGAAATTTAAAAGATATTCAAAATTCGCGCTAAAAACCGTTCTAAAAATAAACTGGCCCGTGAAAATGCCGTGGCACGAGCGCATGGAAGTTGCTCGCTCCGGGTTATGGGCCCATCAACCTCTGAATTATTGTGTCTCAGAGCTTTACAGTAGTTTCGATCAATAGTAGACGCACGTGGCCTACATGTATATCAATTGCTGCGACAACACTGAAGGAGAATATAAGAAACGAATGAACCACTTTAAAACAATTCCAAAACAAAAAACTATCAGAAGAATAAAAACAAAAAACAAAAGAAACGAAATAACTAAGACATAGGAACTCAAAGGTAAAGAACATAATGCTTCTGTTTGCTTGTTTTTGTTTACTTTTACGCGTGGAGTAATGTAGCCTTGAGACCAGATAAGAGAAGCGCGACCTTATCATGAGCGTCATAGTAGCTCAAAGTCTGACTTCAATACACAGGCAAATCAAAGCAAACGTAATGCTATTGCGAAAACTAAAAGCGCACTGAACCCTCGGGCGTACTCGCAAAGTCATACCTCCACCGTGGTACAAGGGGTAGGGAAGTTGGGGGGGGTGGGGTTGATGGAACCTCTCCCC